AGAAAATCAAATAGAATTCGAACGTTTGAGAGCTAAAGCTAGGTACATCTTGAAAACAAGCAGACGTGAATGTTGGAAGAAGTATGTTTCCGGAATTAACAGTTCCACACCTATTGGCAAAGTATGGAAAATGATAAGAAATATATCAAAGACTTCAAACTACAAACCTATAATAACTGAAAGTTATTTAAAACACGACTGAAAGATCCTCACTTTGCCACAAGAAATAGTTGAAGTTTTTGCATCAACATTCCATCACTATTCCAGTAATAACAAAAATCATGAAAAGAGATGCCACTACTTTCAGTAGACGAGAAGGCAAAAAACCCAAATGACCCAATTAACTGTGCCATTTCTCAAGATTAATTTGATGATTGCTTGGACCAGACGATATTCCAATAATCTTCCTCAAAATTTTGCCTAAAAATGCTAAAGAACTGCTTATTAAAATGTATAACGTCATTTTGAGTCAACATGTCTTTCCTCGTATATGGTCTGAGACAATCATTATTCCTATTCATAAAACAGACAAACCTAAATCATATCCAGAGTCTTACAGACCAATCTCACTTTCGTGTGCCATGTGTAAAGTAATGAAGAAAATCATAAATAGGATATTAATGTGGACTCTAGAAAACAGAAAATTACGTATACCACAACAGAGCAGATTCCGAAAAAAACGATCAACACTTGATAATCTAGTAGATCTCGAATCAGAAGTATACGAATCTTTTGTGAATGACCAAGACTGCATCGCAATAATTATCGATATTTCAAGAGCATATGACACCGTTTGGAGGCCTGCAATTATTAGCACACTACAAAAATGGTTACTTGAAGGAAATTCCTTGCATTTTATCGCTAACTTTTTGAAATATCGTAATTTCCGAGTTCGCACAAACGTCTGTATATCTCCCGCATGGTTCTTCTCTGAGTGCCACATTATTTCTGGTTGCCATTAATGATATAATCAACGACGCTATGGCTCCTCTTGACGCGGGACTGTATGCTGACGATCTTGTAGTTTTTGCTAGAGGAAAGAAAGTCGTCACCATTCAAAACCACTTACAGAAATTCCTCAACAATTTACAGAAATGGTCTTCTTCAACTGGATTGAAAATATCTCAAAAAAGACCAAATGTATTCATTTCTCTAAAAGAGCCAAAGCAACCCCTCCCAAACTACAGATATATGAACATAATATTGAATACGTTACTTCCCCCTGGATAATCCCCCGAGCCAACATTGAATATGGACTGCTACAATTCGACAAAAAGAATACAAATCCCAGGATATTCAATGTAGCATTCAACCAACTTCTGGAGCAATACGAAGACTTCTTTCCTTTATACACTGATGCATCTAAAATGGAAGATGGGGTAGGGGCAGCTTTCACCAGCTGTTCATTTAAATTATCGAAAAAAAAAAACAAAATACTCACAGGTGAATTATACGCTATTTGGAGAGCATTAAAGTACATGGAGGAAAAGAACATCCCATGATGCCTGATTGTCACAGATTCACTGAACGCTCTCGAAGCAATTACACAACTATACACCAATCATCCCATCTTATTTCTCATAAAACAGTCTCTCCACTCACTACATCAAAAACATATTTGCATCCAGTTTATGTGGGTACCTTAACATATTGGCATAGTTGGAAATGAAAGAGCTGATAAACTAGCGGAAGAAGCAATCACTAACCCGCTAACAGATACAGTGTCACTTGCTGTTCATACGGATCTGAAGTCTCTATACAAGCAAACGATCATCAATAGTTGGCAATCACAATCACAGCAAAACTTCATGAGATAAAACAGTCAGTATCTCCTTGGAAAAACAACCCCAATGAAAGAAAAGCCCAGGTCATTTTATCTCGTCTTCGTCTAGGCCACACTCGTCTCACCCATGGATATCTACTATCTGAAGAAAATTCCCCGGTATGTGAAGTGTGTGATAGTCTTTAAAGTGTCAAAACATATTCTCACCGAGTGCGTGCTATATCACAATGAAAGACAAAATTATGGCTTTCCACCATCAATAAAGGACATATTAGGAGATGAATGTGATATTAATAATCTATTAGCTTTCCTCAGAAATACCAATTTGTTACATACTCTCTAAGTTTTTTTCCATGAACATGTAATATCTCGACAAGTCGCTAATGACCCTAGAGGCCGATGCGACTGTAAATAAATAAATAATTTAAAAAAATAAAAATTCCATAAATGATGTTACCGTTCATTATCTAGGTGGATATTAACATGATTCAAATTCTTATGATGAATTACATATTAGGTAGAGTTTAGTCAGTTTGAAAACGGAGCCAAATACCTGTTGTGGTTTTGTGAACTGTCTGGGAATCTCACACTACAGTGTTATTCAAAAAAAACAAGTATGTGAATACTATTTTCAGCGAATCAATATACATAGTACAATTCTATAATGATAGACACCGAATTCTCGGAAATATTTATTGTAAAACAAAAACATAGTGGACACGGTTGTAATTCTATATATTTTATGGTCATTTTCCTCATCTGTTTGGTATAACTTTCCGTAGGCCACTGCAAGAGAAACTCGTAATTTCGACTTCAATCTCTGAATTTTGAAATTACGACTTCAAACTCGAAATTTTGACGTTCATCCCGTGACTGTTAGTTTGGAGCTAGTATGCGATCCTAATGCGTTTCCATATAATCACAACTTTATTTTTCTGATTGACGTGGCAGTTACTCGATGAAGATCTATAGTAATTTCACATACTACACCGAAAACGATTCGATCTTCACAAACTTAATTAACAAAAATATCAAATGTTTTGCTATCACAGTAGCTTTTTATAGTGAATAGCATGATATGTTTTTTCATAATTATGATGTTTACACTATCAATTTGAATTGGTAGCTACATTTGGGTATGTAGGTACTTTAAATATATTGTTTTTTCTATTGGTTGCTCCTTTCTTGAAAGAAAATGTCTTCTAAAGAAAAGTTAAAAAGGAAAAAACAAGCTAAGAAGATTTTTTATTCACACAATCTGAAAAAAAGCACTCTTGAAACAACTACTTTCTCATAAGTATCCTCTCCTGAATTTATGAATTTAACAACCCCTAGAATATTCATCATGGTATTTTAAGTTGGCATCCTGTCTCTCAAGTACCTGTCCTTGCAGCATACCTGAAAATTCTAATCAAATCTATATTTCAAAATTGAGATTTTAGTGTTATAATTGATAATGGGGTCAAACTCTGAACTGGTCGTATGAATGAAATTTACCAGTGGTATTTAGACAAAAGTGTTTTTACTCATTTCATTTAAATAAACATTGAATCACACATAAGGCAACCTCTCTTTCGAAACAATTACTTTTATATGAACATAAAATTATACTCAAAACACTCTGTTTTATTCACTCACTCACATATGGAACACTGTCATCCTCACTGGCGGACTTCGATGTTTCGGAATAAGACATTCGCTTCATTGACTTTTCAGCACCAATCTGAATAACATCACAAGATCAAGCATTCAATGCATTTATGAAATTTCGACTTCATGTCACAAATGAATTGAATCTACTGATGTCATCGAAAGTGAATTTTTGGGAAAGGCGGGTTTTGGCTTTCTACTTCTCCGTCTTCATGAGAATAGTGAGAAACTTCCAAAGAAAGAAAAAAAAATAACATTTTATTGATCTTTATATATTATGAAAAATGTACATACAATTTATCAATTGAAATTAAATCTAATTTCCGCCTACGTATTTTCGATTCCTACAGTCCACTATATTGATTACCATTGTAAGACGCAGATTTTCGCAAAATGAAGCTAGCAGATTCCAAGTTTACTGGTTTGATTAAAAATTTGAATGGCTTCAAATTCATTTAAAAATTCAGTTATCAACTCATCATCCACATAGAAAATTCTCAATAACTTTTCTCAGGAATCCGGTTATTCGTCTCCTCTAGTATTCGCTAATTCTTGGATAAATATGGAGAAATAGAACGCCAAAACCATCCTTATCAAAAAATTATTTCCCCCAAAAAGTATACCCGTTTTCAATTCAAACAAGATTTCTATATGGCACGGAGAAAATCAAATAAACGAATGATTATCAATACGTACTCTCATACGTACTCTCATACGTACAAACTCATTTGTGATATAAAGTCGTAGTTTCATGAATTAATTGAATACTTTACCTTGTGATGTTATACAGATTGGTGCTGAAGACTCAACTGAAAAAGTGTCTTATTCCGAAGCATCGATGTCCACCATTGTGAATGACAGTGTTCCATGCGAGTGAAATTTATCTCTTACATTTACTTTATTGTGTAGTAATCCTGTGAATGATATCTGATTCAATTCCATACAAACGGAATAAAATCAATTGTTTTTGTATAATTCAATGTTCATATAAAATTAATTAGAAATACAGTGTTCTTTCGTGTAATTCAATGTTTATATGGAAGTAGTTATTTCGAAAGGTCATTTTATTTCAGTTTGTGTGTGAAAATTATTTCTTTGCATTATCTACACATTTTTGTGGAGAGTTCATTTCGGAATTAATAGGTTTTGTCCTTTCTTTGGAAGTTTTCTACTTTATTGTAAGAAGATGGAGAGGTAGAGAGCCAAATGAGGAATTAGAAAAGTACTCTTAATATTTCTGACACATGACATTAGCGAATGTATATTGACCAGTTTGAACCTCTGAAAAATTTGATTTTGTATAATTAGAATTGAATAATTATAATGAAAATTTTTTGCCAAAAAAATTATCCTATCAAATTTGTCTATTTCTAGTCATGTGTGTCGAAATAACCAATGAAACCATCATTACACTGATAACTACCCATGGATAGTTTTCACGGGTAGTTATCACTTATGTCATGACATTGCTAAGCAACCAACACAATAAAGTTGTTTGACATTTCAGTAATTCAATTTATTTCGAAAATGTCACTTCCTCGCTTTGGTGTTCAAAATGATGCGGCAATTGACAAAATCATTGAAGAAAATACACCAAAAAATACTGTCAATAGTAAAAAATACACTTGGAAAATATTTATGGAGTTTTGTGACGCCAGAAAACATGAATTGGATGGAAATCGTACTCTCGAAGAGCTTGCATTAATACTCAAGGATTGGGCGATTAATATGAGAAAAAAGGATAGCACAGAGTTTAAGGAGGCTACTGTTAAAACCGTATGGAATATAACAAGTAAATTATTACAAGAAAAGTATTACAAGGAGTATAATATCATGCTAGACCCCTTTAAAAGTGTTGCATTCAAACAAGCGCGGAATGCACGCGACGCAGCACGAAGAAATTTACAAACAGATCCCACTAAACGCAAAACAAGCTCAGTACCATTAACTTCAAATGAAATGAGTAAAATTATAAACTTTTGGGATGAAAATACCCCTATAGGACTCCTACGCAAATTTTATCACATAGCAGCGGTGGAATTGGCTTGGAGAGGTGGTGAAGGTGCTGCTTGCTTAGTTGATTATTTTCATATCGAAAAGGACAACAATGGATCTCCAACTAATAGGATAGAATATAATCCAATTTTCAGTAAAACCTGCCAAGGGGGTTCAAAGAACTGCGCCTCTAGCAAATGGTTAGTTCAAAACAGTGATAACAATGCTTGTCCTGTCAGATTATTCATTAAATTATTATCAAAACGAGGCACAAATATCCAGACAATTAAACTATTTTTAAGGCCAAATCGTCACTGGAAGACAGGAAGCGATAACTGGTATGACAATATGCCTCTGGGTAGAAATATAATCAACGGATGGACGAAATCTTCTGCTGAAGCTTGGCTTGGATACGAAACAGAGGAAAATAACCAATCACTCTAATAGAGCAACTGCAGTCAGTCAACTAGCTAAGAGTGGAGTTCAAGAACAGCAATTGTTGAAAATTACTGGGCACAATAATGGAAATTCCATAAAACCTTATTTGAATATTGATCAGGAACATCATAACCAAATAATCAATAGTATGCGTGGAAACATCTATGCAGTAACCGAGGCAAATACAGCAAGATCAACGGAATATCATTATACGAATTGTTATTTCAATAACTGTGTGTTCAATAAATAATTTTGTTCGAATTGCAAAAAATTTTCTCACCGAATATCCCTCGAACATTGATAAATAACTCATAATTTCATCACAACTTCCTCGAGCACGTTATTTTAGGTAACATCCCTCCGCCTTCGGCGTCGGGATGTTACCAAATAACGTGCTTTCGAAAACTGTGATAAAATTATTTCGTTAGTTATCAATGTCCTTGGGATATTATAGCTGATAAATGATTTCTGATGATTTTCCTGTGAATATTTGTGAACCCGAATATTGTTTTTGAATGATACAGTTTTAATTTTTCATGACTTTCTCATTCATGAATGAAATGACGGGTTATTTGAAACTTCAATATGATTGAATTATAATTGATCGTGATCCTGAAGACTTTCGACATGTAAAATGTCTTATTCTTGCTGGAATGTTATATGCCTACAGAAAACCAACAACACGAGACACTACCTGAATTATGAATCCGACTATCGTCAATCAATTATTGGGCACTAATATATGGTCTATTCAGAAAAGGGATCTCTAATAGAATAACGTTGAGACGTAGAACATATATTGTTACAAGTGTAACCTATTTCTCACGTTGAATTTCACTAGTTCGGACTTCCATTGTCTACTATATAAAATGATTTGAAATCCCTGAAACAACTAAAAAAGAAGAATTAAAAATGAGATAATTTTAGTTGTTTCAGGGATTTCAAATCATTTTATATAGTAGACAATGGAAGTCCGAACTAGTGAAATTCATCATGAAACATTGTCAATCACCTCCAAACAAACTATTTCTCACGTCATGGAACTGTCAGATATAATAAAGAAATTGGATCAAGTTCATCATTGGATCCAATTTCAGATTTGGACACATAATCTACCTTCAGAAAATCCAGCAGAAATAAATCCATCATGCCATATGTTCATACGGGAACATGAAATTGGCCTATAAACATCGAGTGGTCCGAAATCAGATTATGCATAGAAATAAACAATGTCTCGAAAAGGAGTTCAAAGAAACCCCTTACATATCGAACTACCAATGGAAAGTTTTGATTGAGTGATGAACTGAAATGAGATTCAAATCATAGTGAATAAATTAGTCAAAACCTGAAGTTAATTGTGGATACAAAACAACCAGAATGTAGTTATGTAACTAGATTTGAAACCTTTCTGATGTGAAGTATCTATAGTCGCACATAAAACCGATTGCTGGCGTGACGACGGGTCGCCATGCGCAAGCAACTGTGCGTTTCTATTCCCAATGGTTCGGCGTTACGCTATCTCTCTCGCCACACTGACCTGGGATACCTATAGTGTATACAGTATACATAACTGTGTTTCACTAAATAAATACATTTCGAAAATAATTGAAAATAAAATATATCTGACAGTGATGATTTAGAAAGTGGAAGTAAGCAGCCTCCTACAGGAAAAGCAAAATTACACTACGACACGCTATCAGTAAGGTGATTATATTTTTATATTTTATAATTGAAGTAGGTTAACGTGTGTGGTTTGTTTTACCCACTCAATCGACCGCCGTGTGAACCGGTGGTTTGAATTGCAAGTCCGGGCGATCTAGTTTCACTTCCTATCATCTAACCCGTGTTATGAATCACGCGTTGAAAGGTAATACCTCGTTAATCCTTGGCTCGCACAAGTTTCGACTTTTGAGAGTTGTCGTTCCTAGGGGAACGACAGTTGGTTAACGAAAAAACAGATTTCAACAGATTTTTAACAGATCTAAGCATTGAGCGTATATTTGGTCTGTCTCAAGGGCCAGTGACTGTAAAATCTATTCTCTTGGTAGATTGAAATTTATACAATTTTCATTGCATATAATATTTTTAAATTGTTTATTCATCCATTTCAATTTTATTCTCATGAAAAATAATGCACTAAAACTCATGCATGAAGAATAAATTCCATAAAGACTGACAAAACTGTATTTCAAAATCAGCTGATAGCGAGTAGCGCAGAAACATCAAGAAATCAAATAATTGATTTATAAATTATGATATTTATTGATATTTATAATTTAAGATACTCAGTAATATATTGCAATAACTCGCTAAATTTCTTCAGTTCACTAGTATATCGAAGCCACATTGAAAGTTTTTCGTATATATTTCAATTTCATATTTATTATAAATATTTCAGTACTCAACAATCATCATAAGGGGTGACAAAATGTCATTATTAATGTTTCATATCTGCCAGGCGTCCCGTGACGGCTCACATTGTTTTTTCAATATCATCATTTTTATGTCTCGGTCTCTGTTCATTTTTAACATTCCACTCATTTTTGTCAATATTTGTTTCAGATTTGAAAATGTTGTTTCATCGATTCAATAGCATTGTTTTTTTATAAATTAGCGTTTCTATATTTCTTATTAATTTCCTTTATTTTTTATTTATTATTTTCACTTCTGACTAAGTCGAATGTTTTGGTCTCGATATGAATTATTTTGATATCCATTCGTTTTCTTTGTGTTCCATTTGCTCAAAAATTAGAGAGCAAGAGATTCACTGATAGACTGCTCGTTTACTGAAACCTTACTAGTGAATCGTTTTGAAATCCTATTTCAAATACACGAGAATTTTTCGGTGTTGAGTAGGGTTATGGGCAGATTTTATTAGAATCCGTTGATCCACCCAAAACAAATTCTATTCGGGATGAAAAATCTCTGCCATTCACGCCCTCTGGGACGTTCATGGCAATATGCGATTTAGCTGGCCGATTTGCTTCTCTCTCGACATTCGTTTCTCCTGAATGCCCGTAATCCACTTTCACAAAGTATTTCTTGCGTGAGATTTTGACGGAAATGTTCCATTCATTCAACATAACGATGCTTTAGCGATATTTGGGAATATATATGGAGCTCTTACTTTTTATATTTTTATTTAAGGTTACGATTTTCTATTCGTTTTCATACTCAGTTCAAATCAGTACATTAAGAGCAAATCACTGTTGAATTAAAGAAAAATGAAAAAAAAACTAGTACGTATTCACAAACCACAATCGCTCAGAGAGCAAACTATACATTCTAAATTTCAAACAGAACAAGTGTAAAAAAACTAGACTAGACTAATTGCAAAGTGGTGTAAGTAGTTATGAATAGTTTGAATTGAAAGGGGTTTATTTTTAGGAGAGATTCATTTTTGGTAAAAAAAGGTTTCGGCTTTTTATTTCTTCATCTTGATATAGGGGTATTTCATTAGGCGCTTCCTCTTTTCAAATTAAAATAAAACAAAGTGTATGTGAGATATGCAGTACCCGCCTATGGAAATAGTGACGGAGTAGCGTGACTTATATATTATCCAAGCATTAGTCACTGGGATAACTGTGACAGTACCGATTACATTATGTTATAGGATAGGAAATGTAGTATTGATTAATTACCGTTTATGACTTGACGTGGAAGAGTAGTTAATATATCGTTATACTGTGAATACGCGTATGATTCCGTCATCTTGTCCAATCTACTACATCAGAAGTGGTGAACAGTGTGAATAGTGTGGTGTCATGTCAAAACACGGAAAGAAATCGAAGAGGCGTTTGTCCCCAACCAACAGCAGTCCAACCAGATCCTCCTCCAGCTCCAGTGAAGAGGATCGTAACCGAAAACGAAAGAGGATGTCAGTAAGAGCAAGAAAGTCTCCAAAGGAATCGAGTCGACATCGGAAAGAGTCGAGAAAACGCAGGAGTCAAACTGTAAGTGTAGCCAGTTCAAATACTATGCCGTAAATATGCAATGTATAGCCAAGCTCTAGTATTGTTCTTTCGAGTGGAGTGCCTGAGTTTGATCCACTGGATATGGAAGTGTCCGATTGGATCGATATTATCCAACATAATGCAAGTATATATGGTTGGTCTGATAGTTTTATAGTTTATCAAGCAGTAGATAAATTGAAGGGAACAGCTAAAACATGGTATGAAAGTTACATTCACAGTGTGAATTAGGGTGGTCTCAGAATACGTGGGCGGAATGGAAACAATTACTAAGTTCTACATTTCAATGTACAAGAAACGCTTACGAGCTATTTATTACACCCATTATCTCTGATAATGGGTGTAATAAATGTGGAAATTGGCAATCCTAACATGTTGGGGGTGTACCTCAAAAATAAAACATACAGACAGGTAGCAACTGAAATCTGCAAGAGCCATTCGCAACAGCGGGTACCAAGTAGTAGTTATTCAAAATGTTTCAATAGAAGTCTCAGGGAAAATAATGAAATAATCTGCTCTTGTTGTGGGAGAGCCGGACATAATCGGGATAATTGTAGACACAAAAATAAAATTTGTGATTTCTGTTCAAAAAAAGGGCACATTGAGAATGGTTGTTTCGAAAAACAGAAATCAAACTCTACTTTTAATAAACAGTTTAAACGAAAAGACATTAAAGACACTAAATTCCAAAAAGTTAAATTAATTCGAAACAACCATCCCTCTTCAAAGTTCTACAAAAACATTTTTATTGATGGCAATCAGTGTACGGCGTTTGGAGATTTTGGGAGTGACTGTTCAATTGTGAAATCGGAAGTAGCTCAAAAACTCAAGCTGAGGGTCAAGCCACTCGCACAAATGGTTAAATTGTCTGGATTTTTGGGAACTGGAACAACAGTGACCCATTATACGGAGAATTCAACATAAACTGATGAAGTTTCGTTAAAAATAGTGTATTACGTGTTCGACGACAACAATATCGAAAATGATATTCTGATCGGAACAAATTTCGTAGAAGATCAGAATATCATTTACCACAGGGTGGATGATGTTTTAACGTTTTAGAATAAAGTGGATACTCCTCATTGGTTGTCAGACATAAAATGTGGTACTTTGTCGGCGCAGGAAAAATCGGAACTTGACAAAATTTTTATGGAACATGAAAACAGTATGTTTTCCGATATGAAGCACCTGGGGAAAGCACATTCAGTTTTTCTGTCTATAGAGTTAACTACAGATAGGCCTGTCACTCATCGATCATATCACTTTTCAGAGAAAGAAAAACAAATGGTCAGGGAAACAGCAA